TATTGTTTCTTCCTGGGGGCTTTTTTGGATGTGAGACTTCTTCAGTAACTGTATCTTCTTTAATAATGTCATACACTGTCCGTTTAGATACTGCAGTATAACTCTCACATTTAGTTTTTTTTACTGGCCATCTAAAGTTGTTTTACATGTGAAATATTGTAGACAATTAAGTGCTTTATTCCATGGATAACATGCTTAGGTAAAATAGAGAGTAAAATGTTACTCGTTTCCGAAATAGCTGAATATTCAAAAATTATTAATGTCTCAAGAACAAGAAAGTTGACATCTACTTTCGGTATAAACATAAATGACACAACTGTCAAAATATTTAGAAAGAAAGACCATAACCTGTTTACTAAAACTAAACCCGACCTTTGTTTTATCCTTAGATTATACAAACCTTAGATGGAACATAAGACACTGCGCATAATCCAATTTCGAAATTATTCACACCCACCAATCACAGTTGAGAACATCACATGTCAGAGCGTTGTCCATCCAAATTTAATGTGTCAACGAGAATTAATTTGGTATTTTAGTGACTTAAATTTTGGAAATTAACGTTTAAAATGCCATGATGTGTTGTAGAAAGCTTTATTTATATTAAAAGTGCGAAATGTGACGGAGATAAAAGAAACTTATATTTATTTCGGTGAGATATTTAATTTTTAAAGATTCTGTCCACGTCCATATTTGTTAATTTGAAAATAAACAGAATCGGACTTGGTCATTGGTACATGTTATAAGTAGCAAATAAAGGTTATTTTTTTAAACTGTTTACTATTTCTTGTTTCATGGTGAATCTGTTTTCAGTAAGTGGAAAGAGAAACATACAATCAAATACAAAAATATCAATTTCATTTCCAATTTATTCGTTTCAAACTTCACAACTGGTTTCAATAGTTTTTTCAAAACTATTTAGTATTTCTACTCAAAGTGTGCTCCGTGGAGCCCTGGGGCTCCGCAAAGCCTTTGTGAGGACTCCGCGAAGAATATAATCATAATAAAAAAAAAACAGAACTATCGCCACAAAATGGAGGGACCTGGCTTGAGGACTTTTTTTTGAGAAGTAATTTTGTTAAGTCACTTAGTGGAAGGAGGATATGATTTTGCTTCAGGACTTTTTTTATTTTATTTTTTATGGGTGAAATGGATTTGGGATAATTCTTGCAAGGAATCTTTGGAATTGGAATTATTCAAAAATAAATTAACAACAAATTATGTTCTTATGTATTTTCAGCCTGAGTTGCCGATTAAATTAATCGTAGATGCATCAAATGTGGGAATAAGGGCCATATGTCATGTTTTTGAAAAAAATATTGAGAAATCTATAGCTTCTGTTTCGCGTACCTTATCAAAGTCCGAACAAAAATATTCCCAAGTTGAAAGAGAGGGCCTTGCAATAATTTTTGGATTAAATAAATATTTATATAGACATTTCTTTATCCTAGTTACAGATCACTTACCTCTGGTAACTATTTTTAACACAGCTAAAGGTATACCCCAATTTTCAGCCAACAGACTACGTAGATGGGCAGTAATATTGTCAAATTACAATTATAAAATTGAATATGTAAAATCGGAGCATAATATGAAGCCGATTTTTTTATCACGTTTACCTATTGAAAGTCAAAATGAGAGTCAAAATGAAGAAAAATTTGAAAAATATTTTTTAAATTATGTGTTTTATGTGTTGAGGGCCCCGTCAAATATTTCGCTTTTCAAAAAGGTTCCGCCCCCAAAAAAGGTTGAGAAACACTGCTCTATAATAATATGGGATCTATCCATTTAATTACATTTTATTTTCTCTAATTTTGACATATAAAGTAATATATTTTATAATCGCAGCAAGTGCCAAAACCAGTTGCATAAAGTAGAACATTATGCAACTGATTACGAAAAGTTGATTATGTCACCAGTTACGAAATGAAAATAAATAAAACTGCCTCTTTTTTGGTTTTTAAGTCGAAAAATCGAGAAATCGAGTAATCGAAAAATCTAAAAATCGAAAAATAAAAAATCGAAAAATCCAAAAAGCAAAAATCGAAAAAACCAAATATCGAAAAAAAGGCAATGAATAGTGACATTTCACAATTGAAAATATGACATTACGTTTAACAACAAAAAAGAAAACAAAAAAAGAAAAGCTTTAAATTGCGTTTTATTTTTTAAATAATTAAACACCGTTATTGAAAACTTCCCAGAAATGTTGGGGGTAAAATTTTGACGTACTCCTTTAAGGATAATGGGTAAAAATGTTTTTCTTCTTCAAATTTCTCGCGGGTAATGTCAAAAATCAGATCGACAACACTGCACATGTTCCTTATTTTTATTATTACTATTAAAAAAAAAAAAAACGTCATAGGGCAATCAAATACAATAATTTTCTGAAATATTTGATTGGAAGTACCTACAAAAGAATGCTGGTGAATCATTTTTCAACACAATTTTATAAATAATCAAGACAAAATTTGAAAAAATCTTGTATGTAAACACGTTACCAAATGCCGTTTGGTTACATAAATAGCTATTAATTGACTTCCTAATATTTTAAATCATTGAACGGTATTTTCCGTAAATAATTAAATCATAAATAATTACCGGTATATAAGTACCAAAACATTTTTTTTTCTTTTCGAAGAATAGGCTTATGTCAAATAAACTTAAAATATAACGAACGAAAAGGTAACCCATTTCTAATAAAATTTAATTATTTATTTTATTTTGGTGTGATCGTAGAAAAAATCTTGTGTGTAATTCGGCAAAAAGTACTTTGGCTGTTTCGATAACTTTTTGTCTCAACAGCTATTTTGTTACAATCATTTTATAAACTTTTACTTAGGGTCGATTTCACCGTTTTGTTAAACGAAGTTTAAAATACTAAACGAAGATTAAAATGACATTTTTATATTAACAAAAATAAAGTTTAAATTACTTAATGGAGTTTAAAATGATATTTTTACATTAACAATGTCATTTTAATCTTCATTTAGTAATTTAAACTTTATTTGACACAACGGCGGAATCGCCCCTTAGCTAGTTATATATTGATAAAGTGTTATTGCCCTCATCATAAATGAATCGTGCTGACAAATAAAGTCAAAAAAACGTCTCATAATTTTTCATCTTTTAGTTACCTACCAAAATTACTATAATACAAATATTTAAGTCCGACCCAGAACATCTCCCTACTCCTTCCACCCAGTTTTTCGGTTTTGGCAAAATTCGCGCAGTGACAAATGCTTCCTATGTTACCTCTACCCTTTCTAACCTCTTTGGTTTTATCAGATGTAGATAGTTTCCTCTCGTCGTTGGCCAGCCGTATTTAGCCGTATGTAGTGTGATGAATTACTAATGACATTAGCTCTCACATATAAGGTGCTACACTTTAGATTAACTAACAATTACTTTCCTCCAACAAGGGGCTAAAGTCGAAGATTGGAGTAATTTATTGACATTGCTGTATCACGCATAAAATTATAATTTTATGATCAATCATAAGTGGTATACTCGATATCTAAAATGTATTGGTTTGATAATTGTATACGTAATAAAAATTTTCCTTGAGCCGCCCTATATTTATCATTTTAGCTGTGACCCAAATAAATTTGGGATTACCACTGCGTGCCTCCACGTGTACTTCTCTAATAATTTCCAATTCGACATTCTCGGGATATTCTTCGAGAATATCCCGACTCTCGAACATTCCATTTCTAATGATCCGCTTCTAAGGGATGCTGGATATTAGATGGTTTGGTACGGATATTTATTTCACAAATAATTTCTATGTAACAAATCAATCTATTTGAAAATGAAATGTGAATGGAGTGTGACCAAAATAAATCGAATTTTTATCCAATAGTATATAGGATCCTATAACGGTGGTGCGACCTTTCATAGCTGCCGATCCAACAGAATTAATTTAAAAAATGGTTATTAACTGAATTATTTCATAAGAAAGCACCTATTTTTGACCTAATAACATGATCATTATTTCGGAACCTTATCGAAAAAGGTATATTATACATTTTTAAAGCCTTACTATGGCTGTTACTTTATAGCACAATGGAAAATTGCAGAAATAGTGACAATGCAGTAGCTTGATTAAAATCCCAACGACCTCACTTCATATCGGACCATAAGTCTCCTACACATTATATGCCAGAGAAAAAAACACAACCTTGTCAAACAACTATTCAATTAAGGGGGTTACAAAAAAAAACTTCAAAACCACAGAGCTGGGCTGCAAGAAAGAATGGAGCCAAGAATCCATCTCGCTTGCAACCGAAATACATGCTATTCAGTGGTATATGAACGGTTCCAAAACTATAGAAGGAACTGGAATCGGAGTATATGGGCCGAGAACCAAGCTCACCGAAAGCTTGGGAAAATACCTAACCATCTTCTAGGCGGAAATTCACGCCATCAAAAAGTGTATCCAGTTTAACATCGAGAGAAACTATCATAGACAAGAGATTATCATCATGTTCAATAGCCAAGCAGGGTAACGAGATTGCAGATAGTCTTGCAAGGAAAGGGGCTCAAACACCCTTTGTAGGACCTGAGCCGTTCTGCGGTATCAGCAGTAACATAATATTGGGAGAGATTAAAAAGAATTGGGGCAGTAGAAGAACCGATAATTGGAACAATCTTTTGAAGCTGAGACAGGCTGAGACAGACTAAGATACTTCTGGGTGAATATAACCAGAAAAGATCGGAAACCTGCATCTGCCTGAGCAAGAACAGGCTACATATTGTAACAGGGACCCTTATCGGGCATTGCCGACTAAAAGGACACCTTAGTAAACTGAGAGTAGTAGAGGATAGCGAGTGCAGATTCTGTGAGGAGGACGAAACCTCCATTCACATCCTAACTAAATGTGTAGCATAACAAAGTAGTGTTCAAATCAATTACAATTATTAAAGTGATATAAACAAGATAATCTGTAACCTTTTTTTTTTTTTTTTTTTTTTTTTTAATTTCAATAGATAAAGCTTACCTCTCCAGTTTCAGTATTAAGCGCCATGACGGACAAACCTTCTTGTAACGTTATCAAATCATATTTTTCCAGTAGAGGACATGGTTGATTGTAAAAACTAAGACCCACCGAAGCGTTTAGAGGTTCGTCGGGAAAACTCTTTCTCAGATGACTGATGACGTCGTCATAACGGGATGCTGGTATTGGGCCGTATTCCATTTTCTGCAAATAAAAAAAAAATGTATTTTCGAAAATTAGTTTCAAAAACGTACAGAGTGACATCAACTCCTAAAAAAACTAAAAATCGCACCTCCAACAACGCCATATTTTAAAATGTTGTTTTTCAATATAAAAAACATAACCTTATGGGTTTTATTAAAAGAAAAATTAGAAAAAATATAAATGACAATCAGGGAGATGAGAAAGGACGGAGATGACTTTGTCAAAAATCATAGTAACTAAATTCGTAAATGTCTATGTCTATATAGATCAGGGAACGTAAATATATTTTTAAACAATATTTATAACTTATTAAATGAAACTGAGACAAACCATGAGAAAATTGACCTTGGGGATTTTAGTTTTGATTTTAAAAAGTCTGATCAAAATGTTTTATATGTTAAAAACATTTTACTAAGCTTTTATATGCATGACAGAATTACTGAAGACACCAGGGTAGAATATTTTTACTAACACTTCTGATAAACTCATGATAAAGTCATATATAGCAGACCATTAAGGAATTTTGAAATCTCTATTAGTATCAGCAGCTAGTAACATATATCTATCTGACAACTTTCTTATTTATTAGCTGCGCCTTGCAGCTGCAAAAAAAGTCATTTAGTAAATAAAATATATCATTGTGCTAAGCCATGCTTTAAAGAGGAGATAATAAAATTGTCAAAGTTAAAAAGCAATTTATCATATAATAATGAAAATATAAAACAACACTATTAATTTTGTTTAAATTATTGCTGAGGTAACAAATGACTTAAAAAATGTTGAACTTCTAAATATATTAAAAAAGATTACAAACAGTGAATGCCCAAAAAAACACATATAAATAACAATAGGATAAAAGACTTGAATACTGTCTGGCATATTGCCAACAGCGATTAGGCACATGATAGGTTATGATATGGCAACATTGTGGGCCTGGTAATTTGACAGGGTCAATGATATGGATAGTTATATATATATTGATCATCCATGTTTTTAAAAATAATCATAAGCTTGTGCCTTGAAGTAAACATGTAGATAATTATTTTTTTTAATATACTCAAAGGCTGAAAAGTGGGTTTAAAACACATTTTTGCTAAACCTATTCAAATTAATTGCCAGGCAATATAGCCGCTCGCAAACTACCCGCTTTGAGCAATTTATAAACTATATACGAGTAAGTATCATTGATCCTGACAATAACAACAGGCCCACAGGGTTGCCATATCTAAACTATCAGTTCCCACTGGCAGCATTTTGACAGATCGTTGGAATGCCTAATAGGGTTCACAATTAGGCATTCCAAACTGAATGGCTACCAGTGGGTTTTGACGGGTTATGATATGGCAAAATGAAGGCAACCCTGTAGGCCTGGTGATTTGACAACGTCAATGAAATAGATAGTTACATAGATTGATCATCCATATTTTTCAAAATAAACATAAGCTTATGCCTTGAAGTAAAAATGTAAGCAATTATTTTTTTTAAATATCTAAAGACTAAAAATTGGTTTTAAAACACATTTTTGCTAAACCGATTCTAATTAATAAATATTTGCCAGGCAATATGGCCGCTCGTAAACGACTAGCTTTAAGCAATCTATATAAGTATATATGTAGCATTGACCCTGTTAATGACAACATGACAACAGGGTTGCCATATCTAAACTGTCATAACCCACTAGTAGCCATTTGGACATGTCGTTGGAATGCCTAATAGGGATCGTGCGTCATGACTTTAACGCCAACTGGTGACAAAAATGTGTACTTCATGAGGGGTATTTATTAATGTTTTATACAGCATTTATTGTTTAGTAATTATTAATTGAATAAAGTCGAATTATTTTCGTAATATCATTATCGAAAAAATTTATTGCATCCATGGATGTACAAACACATCACTTTGGAAACTTGAATTGTATTCGATAGTAAAGAAATTTTATGAATTTCCACAGAGCACAATTAGTGTCTCACACCCAATTATATTCATAATTACATAGATTGCTTATCGATACGTAAATCAGACTAAAAAATCAACTAACAAAGTGCTACTTTCTTCTCTTAATACAAAAATAGATATTATTTTACTTATATGCAATCCCATATTCTTCACCTTTTTCATATGAATAATTATAGAATTGTTAAAGTAATGTACAAATTTGATCTGCTGTGTTTTTTTCAAATATGTTTGTAAGTTTTTCAAACATATCTTTTGAAGTTTCACAATCTATAATGTGCATAATTAGTTTTTTATCAATTGTAGTTTTTGTGCTTTTGCATCCTTCTTTAACCAATTTGTGTTATCTTCATCCTTTGTTAGAGCATTTAGTAATTCTTTTCCATTTAGAATTGAATATAGGTTAAAAGAGAGCCAACAACTTGTTAATCTTTAACCTACCTGAGCCAAATAATGTCTCTGATGATCTTAATCAAAGAAAAACTCTAATAACAAAGGCTGCTGGTGCTAATATCACTGATATTAACGATACCAAAGTTTTCCGCTTCGGAAAGATTAATAAAAATGGACATCGACCCCTTAAAGTTGTGTTGAAATCAACTCGTGACGTACACGCCATTATCAAAAACAAACTCCTAACCAAAGGAAAACTCTGGACACTGTCAGAAGCGAGTTATTGAGACGTCGGCAAGCAGGTGAGCTAAACTTAACAATTAAGTATGTCAACAATACTCCTGTAGTTATTACAAAAAACTAGATTCGGGTAAGCTGGCTGTTTATTACCAGAACGTTAGAGGCCTTCGAACAAAACTATCCTAACTATATCTCAATGTTACAAATTCTTCCTACAATGTAATTATTCTAACTGAAACATGGATCATAGCTGATATCAATGACGCTGAACTTGGTCTTAACGGTTATAACATCTACAGACAGGATCGTTCCCCCCAGTCCAGCATCTTTAGCAGAGGTGGGGGTGTTTTAATAGATGTTAGAAAAACGTTCTCCTAGAGTATCATTAACTCTAATCCATCTATTGAGCAACTGTTTATTCCCTTAGACCACAGAAACTGCGAAGATATTTTAGGAGCCATATATGCCTCCTAAATCTCATTTTAATCGATACCAACTTCACTTTGATCAACTTTTAATGATAAATGAGCAACATCCGGTCAGTCAATTTTACATTTATGGCGATTATAATCTACCTACAGCCACATGGGATATTGAAGATTTATGCTCTTCAGCTTCGGCTTATCCCAGTTCATCACTATTGGAAAAATAAGCTATCGAAATAGTCTCGAACATATGCGCTTTTTACAATCTTTTCCAGTCCAACAAAGTGCCCAACCAAAGAGGAGTTATCCTCGATCTTGTTTTGTCCCCGGTGGAACTTACAGTGATGGAGCCGTTGATATATTGATTCCACCTTGTTCATCATCCTCTTCTTGAAACTATAATTTAATATAAGACGAACTCAAGTGATGCTCCTGGAGAAGATAATTATTAAGATTTTCGCCACGCCAATTATGAGGGTAAACGCCAATCTTTGGAGGCAATGGATCTGGATGGGCTTCTTCAAAAAAGAAACCTTCAGAAATTATTCTTACTTTTTATGACGCTTTGTACTCGGTAATTGAGTTATTTGTTCCCTTGAAGAAATTTGTTATAAATAGATTCCCACATTGGTATTCTTTTCAACTCAAAAGCTTAGTCAACGATAAAAAGGTTGCACATAAGATTTACAAGCTAAACAGGACTCCCCAAAATTATGAAATAGTCAGTTAGGATCACAATGCAGGATTATATCTAGAGAATGCTATTCAAATTACATACATTCTGTTAAAACTTCTGTTAAAAGTGATGTTAAAGCTTTTTGGAATTTTGTAAGTACCAAAAGATCTAATAACACCATACCTGATAATATGAACCTTGAAGACTCTTTTGCTTCTTGTAGCAGTGAAGTATCAAATCTGTCTGCCAAGCATTTTTCATCAGTTTACACTAATCAAAATCTAAATCAAAATTTTAATGATATTGAATCAAAACTTAATGTTTCCTCTTACCACATTCCTATTTCGACTATTTACGAGAAATTATCTAATCTTAACATAAAGAAAGGTTCAGGTCCTGACATTATTCTTTCCATCCTCAGAAATTGCAGCTTCGTATTGTCTCGCCGTCTCTTCTATATTTTCAATAAATCTATCGCCACGGATAAGTTTCCAGATTATTATGTCACCCCAATATACAAATCGGGTAGCAAGTCAGACGTCAAAAATTACCGACCTTTATCTATTCTCAATACCATACCTAAGGTTTTTGAGAACATTATAACAGACTACCTTACCTATGACTGCTCTGGCATCATAACGGATCATCAATATCATGGTTTTTGTGTTGGAAAATCGACTGAATTAAATCTAGTTACCTACGTCGACTTTTGCCGGAAGCTTTGGAAAAGGGTTGCTAGATTGATTCTGTGTACATTGACTTTTCTGAGGTTTTGACAGGATCAACCATTCTCTCTTACTTCAAAAGCTCGATTAATATGGTATAAATGGGGTCGTACTACTATCTTACGAACAGAACTCAAATGGTTAGACTAAACCGTCACTATTCTTACTCATTTCAAGTTATCTCAGGTGTTCCTCAAGTATCACACCTTGGTATCTTATTATTCAACTTATTTATAAATGACATCTTTCATTGTTTTCAGTATGGCAAAGCACTATTGTTTGCAGATGATTTAAAAGTTTTTCTGATTATTAAAACCATTTATAATGCCCGCTGGCTTCAGTCTGACCTTGATAATCTATCAAACTGGTGTTCCTTAAATGTCATGGACTTGAATGCTATAAAGTGCCATGTCATACGCTTTTATCGATCACATGTACCAACTACTACTTTTGATTACAACTAAAATGGTCATATCTTGGAATCTGTTAATCATAGCCACTAGGCTATGGAGTTATTCTAGATCCTACTTTAGGCTTTAATCAACATATACCTAAGGCTATTCATAAATCCATGAAAATGTTAGGTTTTATCAAAAGGCTAACACATGATTTTACTGACACAACTGCAATTAAAGTCCTTGTTCACTACTCCGACCTCATCTAGATTATCGCTCTTCTGTCTGGTCTCCACATTACATAACGCACAGCAGAAACATAGAAAATGTGCAACATAAATTTCTTAGATACATAGCCATTAAATTGGGTGCGAGTATGATTTTAAAGAGAATTTTCTAAACATCCCCTCCT